CTGATTGGCTAACCCCCTCTTCCTCCCACCCACATGACCCCCATTGAGCTCCCCCCAACCAACCAATGAGACGAGGCCACAGCTCAACCTGCACCAGTCCTGAGCGAGACCACGTGGAACGGGCCCAATCAGGGCCACGTTTGGTCGAGCGAAGCCTTGGAGAAGCCACCTGAGATGTGGTGGAACCCATAACCTACGTCCTCACATCCCCTGCTTCCATCTCCTCCCATTGGGATCAGAAAGTTCCTTCCCCCCACCCCTGCCACCAAAAGCAGCTCCAAAGGGCCCCCCATTGACCTGCAGCTGCAGGAGGTGGTGGTGGTTACATGGTGCTGGGGGTGCTGGGTGCTGGGGGGGTGTGGAAATTGGTCTCCTTGAAGACGAACCAGGAGCTGCCGAGCCAAAGAATGAGGTTGAGGAAGCCGAAGACCTGGAGGAGAGGAAGGGGATGAAGGTGAAGCTCCTCAAGAGACTCCACCAAGAAGGACCCCAGAAGGGTCCCCGTTGTGCCCCCACTGCAGCACCCACCACAGAGACGTTGAGGGTGCCCATGGGGGTGGTGGTGTCGTGGCTGCAGATCACAGCCGGGGGGTGGCAGTAGGGCAGGGGAGCCGCCACCGAGGCCTTGACGTCCGTCAGCGCCTTGGCCCAGGCCGCGGAGGCCACCAGCCACAGGAAGGAGAAGGCAGCGGTGGCCAGGAAGTCCTATGGGAGACACGGCAGAGGTCAGGGGGTGGGCACCAAATCCCATGGGATACAGGGGGGAAGAGGAGGGACGCGGTGGACACCAAGTGTTATGGAGCCTGGGGGTCCACAGGACCATGGCGCTAGGCCCCCAAGCACGGTGGGACCCCAAAAGCAAAGGGCCAAGCCTTACCCTGTGTCCTGTCCATGGCAGCAGAAGGAAAGAAGGACAAAGGAGGGTTACGGCCCAACCCCAATGTCCCACCTCCATGTCCCATCCCACCACTGGGACCTCCCAAGGGACCGGGGGGTGATGGGAGCAATGGGGGGGCTCAGGGGTATGAAGCTGGTGGGCAAGGAGGTGGGGGCTGGCCAATGGAGGGCAGGAGAGGACCAAAAGAGTGGATGGAGAAGACCAAGGGGGGTGGATGGTGATTGGATGGATGGGTGATGGATGGCTGGTGGTTGGATGGTGGATGAGAGGGTGGAGGACACGATGGATGGTGATTGGACGATGTGGGAGGTCAGGAGATGGTGACTGAATGAATGCATGGTGGTTGGATGAAGGCAGGATGATGGTGGATGGTGATTGGTAGGACGGATGAAACTTGGACGATGATTGGATGGATGGATGAAAATAGGATGATGCTGGAGGGTCATTGGTTGGATGGATGATGGTTGAATGATTGGATGGATGGATGGTGGTTGGATGAAGGAGCAATGATGTTAGATGGTGACTGGTTGGACGGATGGAGATTGGATAATTGGATGGATGGATGGTGGTTGGATGAAGGAGCAATGATGTTAGATGGTGACTGGTTGGACGGATGGAGATTGGATGATTGGATGGATGGATGGTGGCTGGATGAAGGAGCAATGATGTTAGATGGTGACTGGTTGGACGGATGGAGATTGGATGATGATTGGATGGATGGATGGTGGCTGGATGAAGGCAGGATGATGTTAGATGGTGACTGGTTGGCCGGATGGAGATTGGATGATGGTCGGATGACGATGGATAAAGATCGGATGACGATTGGACGGACAGACGGCGGTCGGATGGCGAATGGATGACGCTGGATGGCCGAAGACCCCCCAACAACCCCACCCCCGTTTGCCCCCCTCTCCCCACGTCCAGGACTCACCCCCAGGGGCAGCTTCCCCCCGGCGCCGCGGTAGAGGTGGAGGTAGCCCAGGTAGAGCAGGAGGGCGCCCAGGCTGTACAGGAAGGAGAAGACGGCCACGACCACGAAGAACTGGGCCGAGGACGAGAAGTCCCCGACCAGGTGCACGTCCCTGGCCCACGTCCGGTTGCACAGCGCAGTCAGGGAGGGCGTGAAGGTGGCCAGGTTCAGCCTAGGGTGGCAAAAGGGGCTCCGAGGGGGGCTCCTCCAAGACGGGGAGCTCCTGGGGCTCCCCACAGCAGCAAACCCAGCTGGGCTGAGGGAGCTCCGTGGGGCAGCCTGGGGCTGCAGGCATCTGCCACCCCATGGGGCACGTGGAGGGAAGGATGGGGGGGATGAAAGTGGGAGTTGGGAATGGGGGTGGGACTGGAGACAGGGATCGAGGTGGGATTGAACGTAGGGATTGAGCTGAGGATCCAGGTGGGAATAGGGAATGGAAATGGGAATGGTGATGGGGTCAAGGTGGGATTGAACGTAGGGATTGAGGTGAGCATCCAGGCGGGAATAGGGAATGGAAATGGGAATGGCGATGGGGTCAAGGGGGATTGAACGTAGGGATTGAGGTGAGGATCCAGGTGGCAATAGGGAATGGAAGTGGGAATGGCGATGGGGTCAAGGGGGATTGAACGTAGGAATTGAGGTGAGGATCCAGGCGGGAATAGGGAATGGAAATGGGAATGGCGATGGGGTCAAGGTGGGATTGAACATAGGGATTGAGCTGAGAATCCAGGTGGGAATAGGGAATGGAAATGGGAATGGCGATGGGGTCAAGGTGGGATTGAACGTAGGGATTGAGGTGAGGATGCAGGTGGGAATAGGGAATGGAAATGGGAATGGCGATGGGGTCAAGGTGGGATTGAACGTAGGGATTGAGATGAGAATCCAGGTGGGAATAGGGAATGGAAGTGGGAATGGCGATGGGGTCAAGGTGGGATTGAACGTAGGGATTGAGGTGAAGATCCAGGCGGGAATAGGGAATGGAAATGGGAATGGCGATGGGGTCAAGGTGGGATTGAACGTAGGGATTGAGGTGAGGATCCAGGCGGGAATAGAGAATGGAAATGGGAATGACGATGGGGTCAAGGTGGGATTGAACGTAGGGATTGAGCTGAGGATCCAGGTGGGAATAGGGAATGGAAGTGGGAATGGCGATGGGGTCAAGGTGGGGATGGGGATGAGGTCCCGCCCCCTCCCTCCCCGCAGCCAATCAGAGTGTGGGGGCATGGCCTCACCGGAAGGGGTAGGCGAATGGGGCGCTGACGGAGATATTGGGGCTGCCGGCGCAGCTCAGGTGGAAGCTGACGGAGCCCTGGAAGCCCCCGAGGGTGGCGAAGGCGAAGACGGAGAAAAACTGCGGGAAAAGCGGGGAAAAGTGGGAATTCTGGTCCCAAATCCTGCCTGGAATGGGGTTCCCCCCGGAAACGGGGAATAATGAGCCAAAAATGGGGTTTTGGGGGTCAAAATGAGCGGGGGGAAAGGTTAAAAGTGGGAAAACCAAGAAAAAGGGGGAACTCTGGCCCCAAATCCTGCCTGGAATGCGGTTCCCATCCCGTTCCTCTCCTGTTCCCTTTCCCATCCTGTCCCCGTTCCCATTCCCATCCCATCCCTGTTTCCATTCCCATCCCGTTCCCGTTCCCATCCTGTCCCCGTTTCCATTCCCATCCCCGTTCCCGTTGCCATTCCGTTCCTGTTCCCATCCCCATCCCGTTCCCATCCCCGTTCCCACCCCCGTTCCCATCCTTGTTCCCATCCCCGTTTCCATCCCGTTCCCACCCCTGTTCCCGTTCCCATCCCCGTTCCCATCCCCATTCCCACCCCCATTCCCATCTCCGTTCCCATCCCCGTTCCCGTTCCCATCCCTGTTCCCGTTCCCATCCTGTTCCCATCCCCGTTCCCATCCCCATTCCCGTTCCCATCCCCGTACCCATTCCCATCCCGTTCCCGCTCCTGTTCCCATCCCGTTCCCATCCCCGTTCCCATCCCGTTCCCGTTCCCATCCCGTTCCCGTTCCCATCCCCGTACCCATTCCCATCCCCGTTCCCATCCCGTTCCCATTCCTGTTCCCATTCCTGTTCCCGTTCCCATTCCCATTCCCGTTCCCATCCCGTTCCCGTTCCCATCCCGTTCTCATCCCGTTCCCGTTCCCATTCCCATTCCCATCCCGTTCCCGTTCCCATCCCGTTCCCGTTCCCATCCCGTTCCCGTTCCCATCCCCGTTCCCATCCCCGTTCCCATCCCGTTCCCATCCCCGTTCCCATCCCCGTCTCCATCCCGTTCCCGTTCCCGTTCCCATTCCCGTTCCCACCCCCGTTCCCGTTCCCGTTCCCGTCCCCGTTCCCACCCCCTGCAGGGCCCGGATCAGCCCCAGCGGTTCTCGGGCCGGGCCCAGGTCCCACCGCGGAGCCGCCATCTTCCCCGCACCGCCTCGGAAGTGACGTCAGGGCGGCGGGAAAGGACGGGACCTCATTTGAATACGAAGCCACGCCCCCAGTCGCTCAGCAACAGCTCATTTACATGCGTGGCCACGCCGGATCACCCCACGACAACTCATTTGCATACCCGGACACGCCCCCTCACGCAGGCCCCTCCTATTATCACGCACGTTTGCATCGACCAATCCGTTCAAGCGCTGTTTATTGACGTCATTCGCAAGGCACCGCCCACAACGTGCGCTCCGTTTGCATGGCGCGCCAGAAATCCCCGCCTCCCTCATGACATCACACACAGAGCAGCCAATGAGCAGCACGGTGGAGCGTGGCTCCTCCCCTCCTTTGGGAAAGGCCGCGGGGGCCCACTCCCGCCCTGGGTCCTAATGCAGCCCCTTCGCAGCGTGGGCCCCTCAGCCACCCCCCAAGTGCCACAATGACCCCACAAGTGCCTCCTGCTGCCCCATAACTGCCCCAATGACCCCACAGCTGCCCCCCAAGTCCCTCCAGCTGCCCCATACCTGCCCCAATGATGCCACAGCTGTCCCCCAAGTGCCCCCAATCACCCCATAACTGCCCCAATGACCCCACAGCTGCCCCCCAAGTGCCCCCAATCACCCCATAACTGCCCCAATGACCCCACAGCTGCCCCCCAAGTCCCTCCTGCTGCCCCATAGATTCCCATCTCTGCCCCCCAAGTGCCCCATCAGAAGTCCCAGATGTTGAGGGCCCCCCTGGCCCGCCCCAGCCCCACAACCCTCTTGCGCACGCTCCGGCCCCCGGCCCCCACCACCTCCACCTCCACCCCTGCCCGGGGGTCCACAGCCTCACGCACCCCGGCCCCATGGCCACGGGCCCTGCAAGCGCACTCCCCATTGCCCCCACGGCCACCAGCCCCATAACCATCACCTTTATGGTCCCCAGCCCGGTAACCATCGACCTTATGGCCACCAGCCCTACAACTACAGCCCCCATCCTTATGCTCATTACCCCTATGAATACCAGCCCCATAGCCGCCATCCCCATAGCCTTTATGGTCCCCATAACGATCACCCCTATGGCCCCGATCCCCACAACTACAGCCCCCCCCAGCCCCACAGCCCCCATCCCCATAGCCTTTATGGCCCCCATCCCCATAGCCCCCATCCCCATATAGCCCCCATCCCCACAGCTACAGCCCCCCATCCCCATACAGCCCCCATCCCCACAGCCCCCATCCCCATAGCCTTTATGGCCCCCATCCCCAAAGCTCCCATCCCCATAGCCTTTATGGCCCCCATCCCCACAGCCTTTATGGCCCCCATCCCCATAGCCTTTATGACCCCCATCCCCAAAGCTCCCATCCCCATAGCCTTTATAGCCCCCATCCCCACAACTACAGCCCCCCCCATCCCCACAGCCCCCATCCCCACGGCCCCCATCCCCATAGCCTTTACGGCCCCCATCCCCACAGCCCCCATCCCCATAGCCTTTATGGCCCCCATCCCCACAGCCCCCATCCCCATAGCCTTTACGGCCCCCATCCCCATAGCCTTTACGCCCCCCATCCCCACAGCTACAGCCCCCATCCCCACGGCCCCACGCCCGCCCCATGACCTCCTCGGTCGCCCTCTTGCCCAGCGCCACCTTGGGCCGCCCGCTCTGCAGCGCCCCCTGCAGGACGCACGCCTTGCACAGCGCCTGGCTGGACGCGAACCCGCACCGCGCGCAGGCGCAGAGCGGCCGCCGCGGGGCGCGCGCGCCCCCCGCCACCGGCAGGCTCCGCCCCGAGTGCCCGAGCGCGGGAACGGCGGCGGCGCGCGCCGCCTCCAGGCCCTTGAGCAGCGCCCGCGCGTGCCCGCGGAAGGCGCGCGCCGCGTACGCGCACTCGGTGCTGACGTAGCGCAGGCGCCGGAAGTGCGCGTACAGCACGATCTCCTTCTCGCACGCGTGCCGCAGCGGCTTGCACCGGGGCACCGGCGGCCACGGCGCGGGCCTCGGGGGGCGCTTCCGGGGGGGGCCTGAGCTGGCGTCTCTGGGGCCTGAGCTGGCGTCTGTGGGGCCTGGGGTGGCGTCTGTGGGGCCTGAGCTGGTCTCTGTGGGGCCTGGGGTGGCATCAGTGGCACCTGAGCTGGCGTCTGTGGGGTCTGAGCTGGTCTCTATGGGGCCTGGGGTGGTTTCTATGGGGTCTGGGGTGGTTTCTATGGGGCCTGGGGTGGCGTCAGTGGCACCTGAACTGGCGTCTGTGGGGCCTGAGCTGGTCTCTATGGGGCCTGGGGTGGCGTCAGTGGCACCTGAACTGGCGTCAGTGGGGCCTGGGGTGGCGTCTGTGGGGCCTGAGCTGGCGTCTGTGGGGTCTGAGCTGGTCTCTGTGGGGCCTGGGGTGGCATCAGTGGGGCCTGAGCTGGTCTCTATAGGGCCTGGGGTGGTTTCTATGGGGTCTGGGCTGCTTAGAAAGCCCATGAAGCTCAGCAGAGTGTCTATGGGGTCCTTGGGGGTGTCTGTGGGGTCCTTGGGGGTGTCTGTGGGGCCCTTGGAGGTCTTCATGGGGTCCTTGGAGGTCTTCATGGGGTGCTTGGCGGTGTCAGTGGGGTCCTTGGTGGTACCCATGGGGCTCTTGGTGCTCCTGGAGGTCTCTGGGGGGCTCTCCGTGGGGCTCTCCGTGGGGCCAGCGCCGCCCTCCGAGGCTGTTCTCCGCAGCCGCGCCACGTCCCCGCGCAGAAAATTCATCAGCAAAGTCTCGGCAATGTCGTCGGCGTTGTGCCCTGCGGGGCCGGTTCCATCCCAGTTAGATCCAGTTACAACTGGTTCCATCCCAGTTAGACCCAATTGCAACCATTTAGGACCAGTTATAACCAATTCCATCCCAGTTAGACCCAATTGCAACCACATAGGACCAGTTATAACCAGTTCCATCCCGGTTAGACCCAGTGACAAGCAGTTCCATCCCACTTAGACCCAACTGCAACCAGTTAGGACCAGTTATAACCAGTTCCATCCAAGTTTGACCC